GGACGCGGGGCGGGGACGGGCCCGGGCCCACCGCTGCCACGGAGAACCTGCTTGAGGGGGAGCCGGAGGGGAGCCAGGAGAGCACGAGGTAGGGGCTCCCGTCCCGTCGTTTCCTGCAGACACTGTGTCCCCTGGCTGCAGAGCGGGAGGTGGAGGCGCTGCGAGGAAGTGGGCCTTGGGGAGAGAGCTGCCTTTCAGCGCTTCCTCCTCCTTTTCTTCTTTCTCTCTTTCTTCTACATCTCTTCTTTTTTTTTTTTTTTTTTTTTTTTTTTTTGTGGGGCTCTTTTCCCCTTTTGTCACATTCCTGCCCCTAGCCTGTCCTAGGGTCCCTTCAGCCCGTGTGCCCATCTCTGCTGGTCATGCAACGAGAGCCGGGATCACAGCCATTCCTTTGGATTCTCCTGTTTCCCAAACTGGGGCCTTAGTGACTCCCTCCTCCCCATAGGCTGCCCAGCCCATATCCCTGTATCCCCACCTGACCCTGCGCGAGCGGAACGGGCACAACGCCTTCCTCCTTGTGCTCTGGAGGTTCCTGCCTTCAGGTCTCTGCAGATTAGGACATTGCATGTCCTTGACCACTGGATAGCCTCAAAGCTCCCCCTGGATCACAGCCCGCCTTCCCCAAGCTTCTCAGCCAGGAGAGGGTTTTGAGGGACACGCGTGCTCTGTGTCCTGAGGGGCCTCAGGGAGGCGATGAGCTGCCTGATCGTGGGGTGATGAGCTCTGCCCTCAGTGTTTCTGGCCAGAGAAAGAGATCCTGTGGTCTTGTGGCTACTTGCAGGTGAGCTTATCCCAAAGTGCCACGTGAGGGACTGGAGAAAAATGGACCGAGGCAGCAAGAAAAGCACAGCAAACCTTGGAGAGGGACCCTACCGTGCTCCTCAGAGTGGGTTTTGGCACAGTGACTTGGTGTTTCTGACTGATGCACTGGAAGAACAAATCTAAAGGGGTTGATTGCTCCTTGTGCTTTTTATCCTTTTTTCTTCTAATTTCACCTCTTCTCTCACCCTATTTTCTCCCATTGCTTCTTCCTCTTACTGTCCCCTTCTTCTCTCTCTTTTTTTCTCCCTCCCTTTCCCGCCTCCCTTTTGCAGGACAAACGGGGTCCCAGCTGCTGAGCTGGTTGGGACCACCAAAGAGGGCAGCCCCCGGCAGGCCGTGCCCGAGCCGGGCCAGGGCAAGGCCGGCAGCCTCACAGAGCAGGACTGCAGCAGCCTGGACACCAGCGAGCAAGCCCTGCTGGGCAGCCTGCAGCTGGAGGCAAGTCGTGCCGTGAGCAGGAGCGAGCCTGACCTCTCCTCCATCACCGCCAACACCGAGAAGGCCACAGAGAGCACCACCATCATGATTGATGTCCAAGACTCCACTGTGGTACAGAGTGAGGACCTGTCTCTCTTTCCTGAGCCCACTCGTCTCAGCTGCTCTTCTGGCCTGTGGGACTGGGGTACCCTAGTGGTTCCCTGGGGGTTGGCGAGTCGTTCATGTGACTCATTTCCCATCCGTACCTGTAGCCTTCTTCGTGCTGCTCCGTGCTTCCCGCCGGGACGAGCGGTGCCCGTAGCCTCCCAGCTGAGCCCAACGCCATGCTGACACGCCACGAGCAGCGCTCAGCTTGTGCGAGCGGGGCGTGCAGCCAGCCAGAGCTGGGGCAGCAGCGGGAGACCGCAGGGCAAGGGCTAGTGTGGCTCCACTTGGGCCTTCTGGCTCTCATCCTCCCTTCTTCATGGGTCCGAGCTGGCCCATGTTGGCCCAGGGCATTACTAGCTTGTTTCCAGTGCATCTGCACTGGTGTTGGTGGAGACGGTGACCTCCTTCAGCTGACTTGGGCTGTGAGTAAGCCCAGGTGCGTGGTGTGCACCGGTGGCCCCTCTTGTGCTTTTGCTGAGCTGAGCTCCACTGCGAGGTTCATCCTCAAATAGGAGCTTTCTGAACCAGAGGGGGTCGTGGCTTTGCTTTGAGCCCTCCCCGCGAGGAGATGCTGCTCTGCAAAGATGGGCCTGGCTGCTGTGCCAGGACTGGCAACCCACTGCATCCACCCTGTGTCACCCGCAAGCAAGGTCTTGTATCCCCCTCTCTTTGTTTCCTCCTCCCCCGTCTCTGCTCTTTTCTCGCCTCCTCTCCCCCTTCCCCTAGAGCACTTCTTCCTTCTCCCTTTCTCACTCCCTTCCTGTCTCCATCTTCATTTAATACATCTCTCCTGCTTCCTTCCCCCCTGCTTCCCCTTGCTAACGCCTGGGCAAAACATCCAAATCCCCTGTTTTTCCTAACGTGTCAGCAGCCCCCACCCAGCTGGCTGCCACCCAGCTCCCCCGAGCACATCCTTGCTGCCAAGGTGAGCCACTTTAAGCCGTTATTAATTAAACAGCACTGCAAACGCTGGCTTTGTTAAAAAACCCCTTTAGTCAGTGTCCTCCTGTGTCTTTTATTTCCTTCTGATCTTTCTCTCTGCAGCAGCACAACTTAGACATGGGGATGTAAAGCAGAAAGCTCACGGGTTGCATGCGCGCTGCGAGGTAGTGCCATTCCCGGGCTGCTCGGGAGGTGCATAATTCATTTTTGTTGCATTCGCATTGCAGCAGCCGTAGCGATGCTGAGGAGCCCGGAGCTCTTGTAGCTGCAAGATGTTTTTTTGCGAGGGGAGGCCCTTGGGGGAACCTGGCAGGGCACACCTGGAGGCAGGACAGGCTGCCCACGGCAGAGCAGCCGCGTGGTGCCACGTTCCCGTTGCCTGCACGCCTGCCCCGTGCTGCTTTCTGCGTGCAAGGCCAGGCAAAGGCTCTTGTTTTTTCGTTTTCTTCTGCAGTTAGCAACAAGACAGATGGAGAAGCCAGCCCCTTAAAGGAGGCAGAGAGCAAAGAGGATGAGGAGGAGATGGAGAAGAAGAAACGGAAGAAAGAGAAAAGTGAGACAGGCAAAGCAATGGTGCCTCACAGTTCCATGTTCATCTTCAGCACAACGAACCCGTGAGACTTTTTTTTTTTTTTTTGTCCTTTGTCCCAGCCCTGGGGCTGGAGAGGGCTGGATGGGACAAAGCCTTTTAGACATCACCTTTGGAAAAAGGAGATCCCCCTGGGAAGGCAGATAAAACTCTCCCAGGCAACCTGATTAACAGCAGCGTCCTTCCCCAAGCCCCGAGAGCGCTTTCCTGCTGTTCTAGCCGTGCTCGTTGTTCTCCGCACAGTTAATTGCAAGCTGCAGTTTTTATTCCAAGCTTGTTGCACCTCGCTGTGTTTGAGCCGAGCTCTCTCTCAGCACTTATGCAGCTCTGGGAGGCAGGAGGGATAAGGGCACTGAGTAACCACCGCCCCGCCGGTGCCTGGGGCTGGGAGAGCCAAGCAAAGCAGTGGGCAAGCCCGAGCCAGCCTCGCGCAGCCCCTCTTTGCCCCTGGCTTGTGGCTGCCCGTCTCGGGGTGTGTTGTGTGCCAGGGCTGCTGGCTGAGGGGCCGCTGTGCGGTGTCCCCTGCAGGGTGCGCAGGGCCTGCCACTACATCGTGAACCTGCGCTACTTCGAGATGTGCATCCTGCTGGTGATCGCGGCCAGCAGCATCGCCCTGGCTGCCGAGGATCCCGTCCTGACCAACTCTGACCGCAACAAGGTGATTGCCAAGCTCCCTGGCTTCATGCCCTGCTTCCCCCCGGCCTGCAGGGCACCCCACTGACAGGGACCCCTGCGCAGGGACTGCCCAGAGCCGGGCTCTTTGCATGGTGCTGTTTTCAGAGCTGAGATAACGTGTGCTCCTAGGGCTGTGCTGGGCCTTGGGCTCGCTATCTGCCACTGCAAGGTGCAGCGGTGGTGGTGCGGAGCAGAACCCGGGCACTGAGTGACAGCTGAGTGGCTTAAAGCGGGGCGATGTGGATGCCTGCGGGGATTGGTATGGCAGAGCGTGATTCAGGCTCACAACAAGGTTTCAGTGCAGCTCGCACCATGCACAGGAAATGTTTATCTTCCACCTACACACACTAGATTTGTGGTTGCTCTGCATGCTTAGGTGACAGGCTGGACCTCCGTGTGGTCAAACAGGCCCTCTGTTTGCACTTGGACTTGGCAGGTGCTGGCACGTGGGGTGGAGATGATGTCTGGGTGGGCATAAGGGAGCCCATTTGCTGGGCAGCTGCAGTTGCTGTGGGCCAACATCCCACCCGTGACCTCTCTCTGCAGGTACTGAGGTATTTTGACTACGTTTTCACTGGTGTCTTCACCTTCGAGATGGTTATCAAGGTGAGAGCCCCTTTCAGGCTGCATGAAGGTGTTGAGAAGCCTGCTAGCATCCTTACTGCGAGCGGGGTGTCTCGCATGGGAAAGAGCTTGGTCTTTAAGTTCTGGTCCCAAAATCTGTATGAAAGAAGCTTGTGGGAACAGAGAGCGCCCAGCACTTCTGTGGCTCTCTAGCTGCCTTCGCTTTCGCTCCACTCTGCTGAGCTGCTGATTTCTGGCTTTTTTTTTTTCTTCTCACCGCTTTCCCTCAGATGATCGATCAGGGCTTGATCCTGCAGGACGGCTCCTACTTCCGAGACCTCTGGAATATTCTGGATTTCGTGGTGGTGGTGGGAGCGCTGGTGGCTTTCGCCTTGGCGTAAGTGGCTGTCTTCCCTTTCAGCTCTCGGCCTTTCCTCGGCCTCTCCGCGTTAGGAGGCTCGGGCTGTGCGTGCCCGTCGCTTTGCCGTACGCGAGGGCTCTCGGATATGCCGGACGTTTGCAGCACGGCCAGAGCAGGCCCCATGGTTCCTTGGGGTCAGGGGAGAGGAGAGGCTCCCGTTTCCCTGTGCCGTGCGTTTTGCACGCTGCTGTTCTCTCCTTGTGCCTTGGACGCCCGTGGTGGTGGCATTAGTGCTGGTGACTGGGCCATGCGTTGCATTTATAGGTTGCCAGGCTCCGTGAGTTGACCTGCTGTCTGCTGGCACATTACTGCCCTAAGCAGGGCAGCAGCCCTCGGGAGCCCCAGGGCTGGTGCAGAAATAGACTCTGTCAGCTTGTGGCTAAAATAAAAAATGAGAAAGTTTCCATCCAGAAAGCACTTTCTCCCAGTGACCTTGGGACTTGCCCGCTGTCCTGTTGGAGCCCGTACATCGTGATTGAGAGGCCATCTCTTCTCTGCAATTGTCCGTAGCTCTCTGCCTGGAAAGCTCATACGTCAGTCCAAATGCAGCCTAAATAAAAAGCCCAATATAAAACTGTAAGTCTCCCGAGGGTTCAAATTAAATTAGCTGAAATAACCAGAACCATAACTAAAGACCCTGCTAGCCTTTGCTTCCCGTGGCACCCGCTGAGGAGGCATCGCACAAAGCAGCAGCTCCCACCTGCAGCTTTGCTGAGCTGCCTGGAGCTCTCATAGCACCTATTTTTGTGGATTTGCAGTATCAGGAAAGGTTGAGCATGTTCCGTTTCTGCAGAGTGGGATGGCCAGTAATGTGGCCTGATCAGCAAGGGCAGGAGCAAAAAAAAAAAAAATTAAAAAAGGACAATAAACCTGGTCTGAGCTGAGCGGGATAAAGGCCTTTTATTCCATTATAGGGAATTCCTACTTACTGGTGCAGTAATTCCCTGGCATGGCTGGAGGGTGTCTTCACCTGTTTCATCAATTAGAGCCCGGGGTTATTTTAATTTGGATGATTTTTAAGGAGCGTGTTGCTTTGTAGGACTTTGCCCCTTTCCCCGTAATGCTGAACCCTCAGTTTGTACGTGACAGGGACTCAGCGTAAGCCACCACGGAGCTCTGGTCTCAGCTAGGGACCTCCTGGGTTTCCCTTGCTGCTTGTCCCCTGTGCGTGGATTCGGCAGGGGAGGCGACGTGTCGGGTGCAGCGTCCGCAGGGAGCTGCGGCCTTGCAGTTCCTCCCGGGCGCCTTCTCTGAGCAGCTGCGCTGGGGTCTCCCGTGTCACCCGCTGTCCCTCTTCCACGGCCTCCTCTTGAAACAGAGGCTTCTCTACCCCCTCCCTCCCAACTCCTCCAGGAAGGAGGGCCCCATCTCCTGACTTACGCCAGAAGTGAGGAGATACCCCTGGAGATAAGCCCTGTCCCGGTGACTCCTCTCTCCTGGTAGCTACCTGATCTTCTTTCTCTCTCCTTTTCTTTTCCTCTCTGTGCTTTTGCTGATTCGTGGCCGCCTGACCGCGTCGCCAACAGAAATGCTCTGGGGTAACTATGCTGTTTGCTGCTGCGCGGGGCGCTGGCGCGGGGAGGCCGCGGGCTGCCGGGGGAGCCGGGGTGTGTGGCCGTTCGTCTGCCTGGTGCCTGTGCTGTCTCCTAGCCGAGCTTCCCTCGTGCTCGCAGAGGTTCGAGCGCGCTCGTCTGCATCCCGTGCAGCACCCTGGGGTGTCCTAAAGGTGGTCAGCTCCACGCCAGACCCTGACTGATGGTCCCCCAGGACAGCTACTTTATTAAGAGAACTTTATTTGTAATTCGAGAGCAGGCCATGGAGCATTTGAGAGCCCCTGGAGATCGGGGAATGCCCCCCTCTCTCAGTGCAGGAAGAAGTCCTGGTTGTTTTTGTTGTTCTGCTCAGAAAGTGCTAATAGGAGTTGGTGTCCTTAGCTGAGCTGACCAAACAAGCATCGTGAGACTCGTTCCGCTGCTCAGGGAGGCTACGCTGCAGACAGGAGGAAGATTATGGATTGCAGAGCCTGGATGAATCAACACATTTAATTTCTAGTGTGGAAATGAAAAAGTGGACAAGATCTCCTTTGAAAGGCGTGCAGTTCCTTTCCTTCAGAGGAGAGCTCTGTCCTTCTGTTCCCCCAGGATGCTTTAACTGTAGATCACAGTGTCTGTGAACACTCGGTGTGCGGAGCGCATCCAGGGGAGCAGGCGACGAGAAAAGCAGAGAGCTGACGGCAGGATGGGCTTCCTCAGCTCTGCTCGGCAAGATCCTGGCAGTGTCAGGGCTTGCCGGTGCCGAAACCTCAGCCCTGACATCCTCCCAAGGGCGACAGAAGTGTTTTGTACCAAGCTCAGGACTCTGGGGAGAACTGATTCTCTCCCCTAGGCCAGGCTTTCCTCTCAGTCTAATCCAGTCTTTTATCCACACCCTGGTTGAATTTCAAGCACATCCACATGAGCAGGTTTTCTGGCACTACTGCTGCTGGAGCATCCTTATCCGCAGCAGGGGTAAATCCTGGCACTTCAGTTGCCCTTGGGGGCAGTTTACACAGGTGAATGTTGGCCTGAAATCCTCACCCAGGGAGCCAGGTCAGAAAGTTACCCGGGCTGGTAGTGAGCAGAAGCAGGACGCCAGGGAGGTGAGAACAGGGGACATGGGGCTGTCTGTAGAGTTGCTTCCCATGCGTTTGTGGAGCTGAGCTCCCGTGGAGGAGTCGGGATTAGTGGTTTGGTTCACATCTCTTAATGGAAAAGCCTGTTGTTGTCTTCCCTGCTGTGTTAACCCTTACAAAACATCTGTGCTCTCTGGAGAGTCCCTTGCTGTAAATCATTTCCTTGCCATGTTCTGAGGATGCCCAGCACATACAAGCCAGGCCACGCTTGCCAGGACCTCTCTGCTCTGCTAGTGCAAATGGTGATTTTTGGCCATCCTGAGATGATGTTTCCACAGGCAGCCCCTGGGCTTTAGCTAAAGGACAAGAAAACAACCGATGTTATGGTTGGGGTTAACGATCCCATTCGAGAAGCGAGGCTCAGGAGAGGCCTTATCCTTCTTTTCTAAAGAGCCCTGCTGCTAAACCCTGCCTCCTGCAGCTGGCTGGGGTCGAGGTAAGCGCCATGCCAGCTGGCAAGAGAGGACTGAGCCCATTGCACCGCGTGAGGTGAGGGACCAGGCCGGCCGTGGTGGTAGCGCTAATGGGAAAGGGGGCAGCAGCCCCACGCGAGCGACGCTCCTTTCCCTGCTGTCCCTTCCATCAGCCCTTGCCTCCAGCAGGGCAGTGTTTTGCTGCCTCAACCTTGTCGTCACCCCACTTCTCGTGGTGAGGGGCTTGGTGAAGGAAGCTGCTCCCCAGCGAAGGAGGAGGCACTAAGCCCAAGGAGGAGAGGATTGTGTTACTTACCAGCCATGGCAGTTGTCAGCGTGTGTTAAGAAGGCTCGTTTAGGTGGGCTGAGCGCTCTACTAGTAACGTGTCTGTGGTTTCTGCATCGCTGCTGAGTGTGGCCCTGCCGTGTCCTTCTGTGTGCCCTGGGAAGGAGCTGTGTGCTGTCTGGGAGCTGTGTGCTGCCTGGAAGGCTATCGTCTCTGTTTCATTTTTGGGTGCACGCCCCTCTCTCCAACACGGTAGGACCAACAAAGGCCGGGATATCAAGACCATCAAGTCTCTCCGTGTGCTGCGAGTTTTGAGGCCTCTGAAGACCATCAAGCGCCTGCCCAAGCTCAAGGTAATACTTCCTTTTTGTGCCTCTTTCTGTCTGCTCCAACCTTAGTTGATCGGTAGCAGAACGATGCCCCCGGGCCCCATGCACGCGCCGTGCCGGGTGATGCGCTCCTGAGCGACAGCCAAGCAATTCTCAAAGTGCTCCAAGTGTTCAAGAGCCCTGTTTTCAAACACAACGCCTTTCAAACCATCTCACATCTGGCTATCCAATGAGCCGTTTAAAGCAAGCTTGCCCTCAAATTGGATATCTGCAGCATATCAGAATTAGTTCCTCTGTCAGGGAAATTGGAGATGGAGTGAAAACAAGGCAGCAAAGCCCAGATGCTCTCCTGATGATCGGCTGTCACAGCTTTGGGAGAGCTCGGGCCTCTTTCTGAGATCATTATCTTTCCTACCAGAGCCAAAATTCTTTCTTTTTTTTTTTTTTTTTTGGTGCTGTGCTGTCATCATGTTACACCAGAGAGGAATCTCCTAGCTGAACAGTGGAATTATGTGTGCAACACGAGTAGGATTATGGGTTGTCCTACTGTAACCCTCAAGAATGTAGAGTCAGCAGGGCATGAGACACCCAAGAAGCCCTGAATTTTCTTCACGGGGGTTTATGGGCCAATGAGTGAGGCCCAGGGTGGCACCCTGGAGAAGTGGCTTTTCATCCTAGCTTTTCCTCCCAAACAGTGAATGGACTTCAGCCCAAGTCCATTCATTTTTGGGCACCTTTGCCATAAAAGAGAGATAATGCTATTCTTCTTTCCTAAAATGTTTTGAGACCTAGGATTGAAAAAACAGTCTCTGAGGCCTGGGGAGTGGTGACTGTTGCAAGCAGAGGTCTTCAGGCTGCCTTGTTGTTCGAGGTGACGCTAAACAAAGAAGTATTTACTAATTGGTCTTGAGTGCTGCTAATTGCATCAAGGTCTCCTGTCTGTTGCCCTGTTTACAGAGACTATTGGAGGATATAAATCGCTGCTTCCTTAAGGGGCTACTGAGTAAGTGTGTGTGTGTGTGGTGGGGGGGTGCTCTGAACGTTACTCATCTGCAAAAGAGCACGGGAGAAGGCCTGGCTCTTGCCTCCTTTTTCTGTCAGGAGTGGGAAGTGTCTCTTCACATGGCACTTTTGAGGAAGGTTTTGATCCTGCCCTTTGAGTCTGTTGGTTCCTATGCCCTCTCCTACAGGCTGTCTTTGACTGCGTGGTGACTTCGCTGAAGAACGTCTTCAATATCCTTATTGTCTACAAGCTCTTCATGTTCATCTTTGCTGTCATTGCTGTCCAGCTCTTCAAGGGGAAGTTTTTCTACTGTACTGACAGCTCTAAGGACACGGAGAAAGACTGCATGTAGGTGCCCTGTTCAGTAGGTGCGATGCTGCTGATACCTCTGGCAAAGACAGGGTGCTGGGTAGTGTCATGCTGGGGTTCCCAGTTAAGTCCTCGGCTGTGGCTCGCTGCTCGCTGTGGTTTCTTGGGGCAGACAGCCAGGGCTGAGCCCTGTCCCTGCCTCTGTCCATGTCAGCAGCTGTGCATTTGCTGTGGGTGCAGGACAGAGATACATTATATTCCTTATATATTATTTGGGATATATTATATTCCTTATATTCTGCTCCTGATCTCTTTGCCGCCTTCGGTCTCCTCCGTTTCCCTCAGGTTTGTTATCCAGCCTCCCCACGTTTCTCTCTGCAGCCCTGCAGGAGGAGAGACATCCCACCCCACTGCACACACACACTGCCCCATGGTTTACCACCACCAGCCCATAGACTGACAATGTAAAGCAAGATCTTTCCTCTCTCCCAACCTTACAGAGGGAACTATGTGGACCACGAGAAGAACAAGATGGAAGTGAAGTGCCGGGAATGGAAGCGCCACGAATTTCACTATGACAATATAATCTGGGCTTTGCTTACCCTGTTTACAGTCTCCACTGGTGAAGGTTGGCCCCAGTGAGTATCCTGCTCTCTCTTCTTTCCTTGAACAGCGCTGGGCGCAGCCCAGCTGATGTGGCAGGGTTAATAACTGGCTGTATTCATGCAGAGCTGAGAAAGAAACTGCTGAGCAGGGAAGGAGAGGAAGGATGAGAAATATTTTCAGGACAAAAGTGGATTTAGCTGTGTTACAAGGCAGGGACCACAGCTGCAGTTAGCTCCTTCCTTAAGAAGTGATTGATATGAATGATGGACTTTCTCCTGCGTAGCTTGGAAGTATATTTTAGGTCTACTTTAGACATAACTGTAACACTAGCTCTCTCCATTCTAAAGAGAGTTTGGGCAATTCTTGTTTCTGTATGCAAAGCGCTGGAAAATCCATTTTCCATCAGGGGTGTGGGTGGAGCACCATAAAATGAGCTATAGCCCCTCTGAAGGGTCCTACTTGCCAAGTGGATTAAGACTGAGGCTTGTCTCATCGTTCCAAGCGTGGGCAGATTGAGGTGGCTGCACAGCGTGGGTGATGCCTGTCTTGTGACGAGTGCCACGTGGTGGCAGTCATGGTGGACATATCTCTGGTTGTTTCTGTTCACCTGTCTGCCCACAGGGTGCTGCAGCATTCGGTGGATGTGACGGAGGAGGACCGCGGGCCCAGCCGCAGTAACCGCATGGAAATGTCCATTTTTTATGTCGTCTATTTTGTGGTCTTCCCTTTCTTCTTCGTCAACATTTTTGTGGCTCTCATCATCATCACGTTCCAAGAGCAAGGAGACAAAATGATGGAGGAGTGCAGTCTGGAGAAGAATGAGGTACAGTCTGGGCAGGGGAAAGGAGGATGTTTTTGCATTGGCTGCTCTAGTAGGCCGTTTGAGAGCCTGGGGCTGGGCAGTTGTAAGAAAGCCATGGGCCACCTGCCTGTCTAGGCCGTGGAGGAGTGTAGCAGCCACTGTTTGGGGTGCCATCTCCCCGTCCTTTGAGTACACCATCATGGCCATGATAGCACTGAACACCGTGGTGCTGATGATGAAGGTGAGCTGGCCAGGACGAGCCCGCCTTGGTTAGGAGGGCGGAGGGAAGGAGCATTAGCCAGGGCAGGATCGGAGGGTACTTTCCTTGTTTCCAGGAGATGCTTTGAGAGTGAATGGTAGTCAGACCAACATTGCAGCATGGCAGCTTTTCAAGGTGTCTGAGAAGGTCCTTGCAAGTTTTCACATTCAGATGAAGCATTTGTTGAAGTAGTTTGCTTTTTCAAACACAATTCTTCTCTCCCAAGTCTGGCTTTGGGGTTTTTCTACCTACCCCACATGGAAACATGCTGTATTCCACCCTCCAACTGTATCTCTCCTCAAAACTTGCACTGAGAGGGTATAAGAAACCTCTTATTTCCTATAAAGGGTTATCTCTGCTGCCTGTGGGGAATAGTGACAAGCTCACTCAAGAGTGCTTACTGCCTGCTAACACTTGTCCCAGCATGTAGTCCCTTAGTATAGTCAGTCAAAACACCACATACCTAAAACGTGGAGATGACACCCTCCCCTAACAAGAGGATACTCCAGTCCTGTTAATTACTGCAGAAGGATCAGGACTCATTCTGTGATTCCTCCTTAGAAGCAATGGCCAATAATCCTGTGAGAGGGGCAGAGAGGGGAAGGGGAGACGGCCTCAAGGCACTGAGGGCAGGAAACATAGGCCACTGCAGGGATTTCCCCAGGAAAGTCAGCAACCGAGATGATGGCAGGCTCCATACCAGCTATAATGTCTCTCTCCCTGTCAGTACTATTCTGCTCCATACACCTATGAGCTGGCACTGAAGTACCTGAACATTGCATTCACCATGGTGTTCTCCTTGGAGTGTGTCCTCAAGATCATTGCTTTTGGCTTCCTGGTAAGTGGCCTCAGTTCCTGACAAGTTTACAGTTAATTTGGGCCATGGCAGCACAGTTCAGCTCCTGGGTTCGTGGAGGGAAGGGTTAGTAAGGTGAGGTAGCTGCTGGTTATTTTGGGTGGCAGCCTGAGGGCTGCTTTTAGGCTGCTGGGTGTTGGAATCGCTCCTTCACTTCTCATTAAACTTCCCACTGCTGCATTTCTTGGGTCCCCAGACTGCTGGACACAGGTGTGGAGTCACTGTCCTAAAGGGACCCGTGATCCGTGGGATCAGGGGCCCCTGC